CCCCTGGGAATTACAGGAAGCATTTAATTACGGTTACTTAGTACTTTTTCACTGTGGGCAGCTGAGTGGTGGTCGTTCTTTGTTCTCTTAGCAGAAAGTGTAGATTTTATAGTCGTTCTTTGTTCTCTTAGCAGAAAGTGTAGATTTTATAAACAGTCCTTTCAGTGCTGCCCTGAATAGGCAGAGTTAATTTGTCATTTCTTCATTTTTCAAAAACAACAAAATCCACCTTTCTTGCTTCAGAAAGCCAGGGAAGAAGTAGCTCTGTTACATGAATGATTTAATCAAAGCAGACACAACCTTTTTAAAACAGACTGTAAAGAATATGCTTGCAATGCAGGAGACCTGGGTTTGATCCCTGGATCGGAAAGACCTCCTGGAGAAGGGAACAGCTACCCACCCCAGTACTCTTGCCTGGAGAATCCCACAGACAGGGAGCCTGGTGGGCTATAGTCCATGGGGTCGCAGAGAGTTGGACACAACTGAGCATACAGACACGGTTAGATTGGGTCCACCTGAATAATCCAATATAATCTCCCCATTTTAATGTCGTTAACTGAATCACATCTACAAAATACCTTTTGCTGTGTTATGTAACATAGTCCCAGATTCCAGGAATTAGGATAGGTCCCATCTTCTGGGGAAGGTGGATTCTTCTGTCTACACATCTACAATGGTCTTTTTAAGTGGAACTAAGAACATAGTCCCAACTGACTTTGTGGTCTAGTTGCTAGCTGAATGGCACTGAAAAAGAATCTGGAGAAATGAGACTGTATTCAGAAGGAAATGACTAAGTGTACATGGCTCTTACTCATTGATTTCTTAGTNGGTCTTTTTGAGTGGAACTAAGAACATAGTCCCAACTGACTTTGTGGTCTAGTTGCTAGCTGAATGGCACTGAAAAAGAATCTGGAGAAATGAGACTGTATTCAGAAGGAAATGACTAAGTGTACATGGCTCTTACTCATTGATTTCTTAGTGAAAATCACTAGATCCTTTTATCAAAATTGTCTTGGCTATCATAAATCTTGCATTTTCCACATGAATTTTAGATCAATTCATTAATTTCTCTGAAAGAGCTTGCTGGGGTGTTTCATTTGTTGATCAATTTGAGAACACCATCTTGACAGAACTCTCATTCAATCCATGAACATGCAATGCTCTCACCATTCATATATTTAAAAAAAAATTCTCAGCAGTGTTTGTAGTTTTCTAATTCAGATCTTTTCGTTTTCTTTTTCCTAAATATTTTTTCCTAAGTATTTTTATCCTATGTGATGATATTGTATGATTTACAATGGTTTAAGATTCAGATTGTTCATTGTTCTTGTATGCTAAGTTGCTTCAGTCATGTCTGACTCTTCATGACCCTATGGACTGTAGTCCGCCAGGCTCCTCTGTCCATGGGATTCTCTAGGCAAGAATACTGGAGTCCGTTGCCAGCCCCTCCTCCAGGGGAATCTTCCCTACCCAGGGATCAAACCTGGTCTCATTATGTTTCCTGTATTGCAGCGAGTTCTTTACCACTAGCGCCACCTGGAAAGCCTCAAGATTATTCATTACTTATATTATAAAGACAGAATTGACTTTTTCTATATAATGATTTCGACTTTCCTGGTAACTCAGCTGGTAAAGAATCCGCCTGCAATGCAGTAGACCCTGGTTCGATTTCTGTGTTGGGAAGATCCCCTGGAGAAGGGATAGGCTACCCTCTCCAGTATTCTTGGGCTTCCCTGGTAGCTCAGGCAGTCAAGAATCTGCCTGCAATGCTGGAGACCTGGGTTTGATCCCTGGGTTTGGAAGATCCTCTGAAGGAGGGCCTGGCAACCCACTCCAGTATTCCTGCTTGGAGAATCCCCATGGACAGAGGAGCCTGGCGGGTTACAGTCCATGGGGTTGCAAAGTAAAACACAACTGAAGCGACTTAGCACAGCACGGAATGACCTGCATTTTGCTACCCCACTAAACACATTAGTTTCAAAGTCTGCTATAAATGCAAATTGATTGTGTCAGTGGCTTTTGAGAAAATCAGAGAAAACTGTACCACAACTCAATCAACTTAAAGCAAATACACTTATCATGGGAATTTGAGATGCTTGCTTGGAGATGTCCAAGGAATCACCTTAAATATCAACTCAGATAGGTATGCATGTCTACATACGTCTTACTGATCTGTTTATGCAGATATTATTTAAATCTAAAACCAACAAGAGTTACCTTTTCTTCTAAGGGCACAGCACTATTCTTATCAGTGAAAATAACTTGAATTGTTGGAGAAGAAAAGGAAAATTCATAGCTTATGGCCAATTCTTTTGAAGTACCAAAGATGATGGCTAGAACATTTACTTTTATAGAAAATACTATATTTTATTATTAAAAATGCTGCTGCTAAGTTTATACATATGTGTCCAGCCATATATATCTTCCATCTTTACTTAACACAAAATAAAAAACAAAATCACAAAATAATAATCCAAGAAACCATTAAACTCTGCATGCCAGAGTGAAGTTCAAGAATAAAAATCTAGAAAAGTTTTAAAAACTTTTTCTCATTTTTCTCTCTTTTATAAATAGTAAGTATATTTTATTCTCATAGAACTCTATGAAAATTCTATAACTACTTTCCATGTAGAAATAAGATATCATTTAAGTTGTATTAAATTGCTTTTGGTCATAATCCTCTATAAAAGCTAAAGTTATTCATATAACAGAACTCTTTTCCCTCCTTATCCAATGCCACAAGACTTTGCATATTGCTAGCAGAATACTATTGGAAATACTAAGCAAATATAGGAATTCACATTACAAACATACTGGGCCTATATTGTTGCCAAGCATCACTTTCTCTGTAATTTAAAGTCTGTTTGTCCTAGCTTAGGTGGGATAATAGATCCATAGCTTGCAGAGATGGCCTGACAGTAGCATTAAAAAATGATGAACAAAAATCTTACCCATGACACCTCTTAGCTGCAGGTGTGTGGCTTCACTCTGTACAGAGTCAAGATTATACTTCATATATGTATATACCCAGACTCACTATGAAGTTTATTATAGTATTTCTCTAAAATACAGGAGACAAATAATAGCATTTCTTTTTTAGAGTATAGGAAAAGAAACATGCCAACCTATAAATGATTTAAGATATAGTAAAAATAAAAAAATAAAAAAAAAAAAAGATATAGTAAAAATAAAAAAATTTGTTCAACAGAAACGGCCAAAGCCAGTTTTTTGTATAGGAAAATGTATATTTGTACCCTGTAAGCCAATATGGCATTCATAACAAAACCATATGTGGGAAAAGTATTAATTGCATTCAAAATACAATCAGTGAAACAAAAATATCAATACAGATGTTTTAAAAAAAAAAACATGCAGCATGTCAACACGGGGGCTGTGCACTAATACACAACTTTTTGTCATCAGCCATAGTAATAGTTTGATGATTAGAATCAACAAGCAGTGGTTTAAGCACTTAGTATCTTAATGTGGTAGTTATCAATACATATAAGCATTTTAATGTTTAGTTTTATTTATTTGGTTGGGGAGTTTGGGTGACATATTGAGCATTATAATGCTTTTCTATTTAAATTATCAATTATGGGAAATTGGCTCTAAGCTAAGGTTTCATTAGAAACCTTATAACTTTATAACTTTGAGAAAGATCCTTGAGAATGTGTGTGTGTGTACTTTTTTTTAAAGTAGTCACTTACTGATTTCCTATCAGGCATCCAGTCTCCCCTTTTGCCTTCCCCTTCCTAACGCTATTCCTAACATCTGAGTATCACTCCTTAAGCCATGCAACCCATGTGGATTGGGGATAGTTGATTAAACCCAAGGAGGCAGGCCATGGTTGACTGGAAGGGCATATCCACTGTTACTAGAAGGCAGTTCACCAGCACAGCATTCTTGGTTCAAAGGTAAATAAGCATGGTATTTGGATATAAACTGCTATTAGAAATAGGGCATTATCCCCAAGATGTACGCCTTTTGTCTACACTAACCCAAACTATAAGCTGTAACACTGATAAAACTGTCTTTTCTATATTAAAACAGAAGGAAGGATGCACACATTCTAGGAATGGTATACTCTGGTTCCATACCCAATCATCTATTAATGTTCTTTTCTCCTTTCTGCCTTGAAAAAAATTAATCATGTTCATTAGTCAAGAATTTTATTTCTAAAATACAATCCAATGACTTCACTATCCTTTCTGGAAAAACATACCACCAATTCTCTAAAGGATGAAGAAAACTGAACCTGTCTATAACTACATATCTTGCCTGGATAGTCACAGAATATTTCATTCCATAACTGAAGAAAGTGATTCTTCCAATTGAGGAGTCAAGAGATCTATGTTATAGTTTGAAGTCTTTAAAATTAAAATACATCATATAATACAAGATTTGTGGGAGGGATAAGCAAGATAATAGTTCAGTTTCCTTTCTGTAGATTAGGTGAGTTGGTCTCTTTAATTTACAATCCTTATTACATTTAATACCTGAAAATTCTAATTTAGGGCTCAGACTGTGGCCCTGTCTTCCAAAAGAGCCACCAAATTAAAAGATACAGTAATTCTTCTGTTTTAGCTTATTATATATCAAGAAACTCAAAAGACCAAAATTGCTATAATAAATGTTACCAATGAACAAACATCTAAAAAGTTTATGGCAATGCATCACACAGAATTACCCTGCAATATTTTTATGTTTAAAGTAGACCTTTTTAAATACAATACTTACATACTTCTTTCATACATTCATACTGGCCTTGGCAATTTCACATCTGTAAAAATCTTATAAGCATTCTTTAATAAATAAAAAAGAATAAAAACACCTATAAAATTTGGACAAACACATTCACGCTAAGTATAACCCACCCATTCTTAGTTTAACTCATTCAATTCCTACAAAGAGCTTTATAGAGTTGAATCCAATACTGTATATTGTACATCATTGCCCTCTGATGGCATCACTAACATATAATTTTAAATTCAGCAAGCAAAAAAAAAAACTTTATTATAATGCAAAAGAGAGTATGTTAATTTTATAAGCTACAGAAATAGAAATTAGGAGATATTTTATGTTCTCTAGAAATAAATATTAATTTCTTAGTAAGTTAGAAAAATGTACAGTGTTCCTTCATATAAGCCCTTCAAATGATATTTCAAGATTTTCCCTGATGATCAGTTTAAAAGGCACTAAAGTCTACAAGTTTAAGCAAAAGTCTCCACATATAATGAAAAAATGAAATATAAGGTTAAGCGACAAATTATAAAGCGCTAGATCATTTCATAAAGGAGGGAAAATACAAGTGCAACTTTAAACATGAGACATATGCAGAATTTTTCCATGCAATATACAAATATATATTCACTATTTAGGCCCATGTTTTAACTACTAAAAAGTGGCAAATCACCCACCATCTGTAGAAGAGCAAAGGTAGGGGAAATAAGAATTTAATGAAAGGTCTGGCCATTTTCTAACTCTAACAATCAAAAGCATTTTCAATATTCAATTTTGAAAAAGCACTGCACTTGAGAGCACTAAAATTACAAATTCTGAATCTGCATTTATTCAAAGAGAAGAAATTAAATTGAGGATGTCCACTTGATTGCAGATATTAGTTACTGGCAGTAGACTCTTCCATTCATGCTATGCTTTATGAAACTGTCCACTAGAAAAGATAAAAATATAGAGGAAAGTAAATTTTGTTTTAAAAGTTATGTTACAATATTCTAGTGAACAAACAGGTAAAAGAGGAATCTGGGCTATACAAATGTATAGTGATCTTTGTGAGGACCAGTGACTAGTAAAATTTTACATTATAGTCAAAAGTCTGAAATAAAATACATGATGGTGTACACAGAGAAAGAAAGAAAATATCTGGACAGGTTAACGAGGGGTAGCTAGGTCCCAAATATCTGATAATCAGTAAAACAAAACATCACAAGACAAAATAAAAACAATGAAACTACAAAGTAAAAGGAATTGGAATTCTTGTTTGAGGCAGGGGAGTGAAGAAGTGGTAGAAATGATTAAACAATGGTCTGGCAAAGTCTGCCTGGAGAAGAAGATGGCAACCTGTACTGCCGTATTCTTGCCTTGAGAATCCTATGGGCAGAGGAATCCGTGGAGTTGCAGAGTCGGACACAATGAGCGTCTCACACACACACACAGTCTTTCACTGTCTCAACCTGAGAAACTATTCCACGTGGTATTCTGCTTAATCAAGTTTATTAAATTTTGCAACAGTAAGTTCTGAAAAAGCCATTGGGATAATAATATTTACCAGTCTCTAGAGTAGTGTTTTCCAAGTATATTAAGACATATTATTGAGTATAATATGCTTTTTAAAAATTTTTATTTAAATAAAGTTTAAAAATTAAGGATGCATTCAAGTAAACTTACTTTCCTTTATTTTAGGATTTCTTACGGATTTAAATATTGTGCTTTTTTTAATCTCCAAGGAAGGTATTCAATATATAACACAGTATTCAGTGTTTTGGGGCTTCCCTTGTGGCTCAGTTGGTAAAGAATCTGCCTGCAATGCAGGAGACCTGGGTTCGATCCCTGGGTTGGGAAGATCCCCTGGAGAAGGGAAAGGCTGTAAAGTCCATGGACTATACAGTCCAAAGAGTCTGTAAAGAGTTGGACACGACTGAGCAACTTTCACTTCACTGAGTATTTTTAAACAATTTCTTACCATGGCACTCTATTTTCAACAAAATAGCCCTTAGGATTAGTATTACAAACACTAGAGCAGTGATTCTCAATCTGGTTTGACATCAGACTCCTTGGTGAGCTTAAAAGTCCTGACGGCCAAGCCCTACTCTCAGAGATCCTGACTGGTACAAGGTCCGATCCAAGGTCCAGCCTTTTGTGAAAGTTCCCCAAGAGCCAATGGCATCTGCCAGAACTCTGCTGGTAAATCCTGACCTGATGCTAGTTCATGTGCTGATGCCATCATCACACTGACTTCGTAAAATAAGGCTGCCTTTCCAGAATACAATAAGCGTTGCCAATGCCAACTGTCCTTGTAAGAGGCAGTTAGTCAGCAGATGAATATGTGGAGCGTGTGAAGACAGAGGGTCCTGTTTTCCTCATACTATGAAGTCAGGTTAGGAAGAATCTAGCTATACCACAGGACACTTAAGGCCGGAGAGCGGCCCCTAAATAACCCCAGGCCAAAGGGTTTGAGGATTAAAGTTACTGTCTATCTTGTATTTCCTCTTCTGTTATCCCTGAAAGTGAAAGTTGCTCAGTGCTGTCCAACTCTTTGAGACCCTAGGGATTATACCATCCACGGAATTCTGCAGGCCAGAATAGTGGAGTGGGTAGTCTTTCCCTCCTCCAGGGGATCTTCCCAACCCAGGGTTCAAACCCAGGTCTCCCGCATTGCAGGTGGATTCTTTAACAGCTGAGCCACAAGGGAAGCCCTGAGCCACCCAAAATTTTGAACGTCACTGTATGCTCTCGACGAGCAATGCAGGTAGTTAAAGAAAAAAAGGTACTGAATTTAACACTGATAATGTCTCTCATTTTGTGCACTTCTGAAGGGACCAGAAGAAATGTAAGACCTAACTTTTTTTTAATCTATAGGCTTCATCGCATGGAAACTTCAGCTTTTATTACAGAAGCCCTTTTCTCTCTTAAGAGTTCAAAAGCTGATGTAAAATTTGTTAGGTTGAAAGTGAATGTCACTCCGTCGTGTCCAACTCTTTGCGACCCCAAGGACAATACAGTCCATGGAATTCTCCAGGCGAGAACACTGGAGTGGGTAGCCTTTCCCTTCTTCAGGGGATCTTCCCAACCTAGGGATTGAACCCAGGTCTCCCACATTGCAGGTGGTTCCTTAACCAGCTGAGCCACAGGGGAAGCCCAAAAATACAGGAGTGGGTATCCTATCCCTTCTGCAGGGGATCCTCCCGACCCAGGCATCGAATTGTCTCCTGCATCACAGGAGGATTCTTTACCAACCAAGCTATCAGGGAAGCCCTTTGTTAGGTTACAACATGTAAAATAAGTACCTTCTGATTATACAAAAAATATCATGTTTTGTAATATTATATGTGACTTCAAGTCATTCAGAAACTTGCATTTCATTTAGTGAAGAAAACTAAGAGAGTTTGAAGCAGGTTATAGTACAATCCAATTTGATAAAATTGACATATAAAATGAGATTAGAAACGATGTCAAAATGATACTGAATTTGGGTGATTTTTACTTTCATCTTTGTACCCTTCCATTTTGCTTAAGTTTTCTACACAGTTAAGATTGTCATTAATTATGTAAGTACAGGGGGCTTTCCAGGTGGCACCAGTGGTAAAGAATCCACCAGCCAATGCAGGAGACGCAAGTTCAGTCCCTGGGTTGGGAAGATCCCCTGGAGGAGGAAATGGCAACCCACTCCAGTGTTCTTGCCTGGAATATTCCATTGATAGAGGAGCCTGGTGGGCTACAGTCTGTGGGGTTGCAAAGAGTTGGACATGACTGAGCACACATATACATACACACACGTAAGTATGAAGTATTAAGATATAGGGTTAAGATAAACAAGAAAAATCTATTTTCATTTCAGGAAAAAGAAAACAAATCTATTCCAATGAATGTTGAAATGTTCAAATAAACTGACAACTTTTTCCAATCTATGTTGCTCATGCTTTAAAATTCACATTTCTCTGATAATCTTTTCCTGGAGGAAAGTATTGAATGGACTGCTACTTGAGTTTTCAAAACTTCCAGGTAAATCAAATTGTCAATCCATTTTAATACTTACCCTAAGTCCACCTTCCGGTGGGGGTCCAGATGTAGCCATTTCTTTTTCTAGTTTTTCCTTTTTCTTTCTCTTTTCTTCCACAGACTGAACATTCAGAATACCCCGAGATGCAGCCTTCAGGAAAATTGTTGATAAACAACAAAATTGTAGAAAAACAACAAAAATTAGTTTTTGGTGTCCAGAAGCTGTCTTTTGCTTTTTGCCTTTCAGGTTTTTCTTTCGATGTGGGGACAGGGGAGGGGGTTGGTCTCTTTTTTTGGCAACAAAGAATTAGACTATTTCTAAAACAGTTTTACATAAAAACATACTACAATTTCTTCATTGGGTATTTTGCAACCATACATTTCGCCCCTGAAATTACTTCACAACGTTCAGTGCTTTACAAGGCACGGTCATTTCATCTCAAGGAACAATGTTATTAACGGGGCATCTCACATAACTGAAGACACGTGTATGGTAATCGTCATATATTAAATAACAAATCCCTGGAGGAGGCCACAGCAACCCACTCTAGGATTCTTGCGGAGACGACCTCATGGACAGAGGAGACTGGCTGGCTATAGTCCATGGGGTCACAAAGATGTGAACATGACTGACCACACACACAAATGACATAAATGCATTAAATGAATTTACTTAAACACAGAAATCATCCTGAAAAATGTTTAAATTTGTAAGATATCAGATGTCATTTTCATTAGGGAATACTACTAGTAATAGACATTTACAGAGAACAAAGCAGAAGGTTAATCATCTCAGGTCGGATTTTATTTCACTCTCACCTCCTTCTGTCTCCTCTCCGCAGCCTCTGCAAGCTTTGCTCTTTTTTCTTCCTAAAAAAAAATGTGTAAGAAATATGGTTTTAAACAAAACCAAACATGATCCTTGGTATTTTATACTTTATCTTACCAGTAATATAATAGTTTATAAAAATAGTACTGGCCTCAACTGTCCCACTAGGAAGGCCATTACTTCTAACATTCATAAAATACTCAACTTTCTGAATTTCATTTTCCCAATCAGTGTACCTTCAAGTAAGCACAAGGTGAGACATATATCTACACCTATATATACACATTTTATATCTCATACATACATACACAGATTGGCTTGTGAAATAATCTATTTGCCTTTTTTTTTTTAAAGCGCTAACAAGTTAGTCAGGGCAATAATAAAACAAATGACATTGAGCAATACAAGCAGGGAAATACATGGTTGATACTGCCAATTAAAAAGGAGTTTGAGGCAGCCTGGTATTTTCAGAAAAAGTTCATGAATGAAGAGAATGAATCGCATTGTGTAGGACAAGAAGGACTGAAGGATATTTGAGATGTACTGTTCTATGTTGGGACCCCATGAATATTATTTTTCTACCTGAATTAATCACAAGTTATAAGTTATTTAAATATGTAAGAGAGTAAACAGCATTCTCTTGGGAGCTGTGTTAATAATTTCATTTTCCACAAAACACTCACTCATTCACTTATTCATTCTTTGGATACTTAATGAGCAACGATCATACCTAGTAACTATTCCCCGTGCTGAGAATACAGCAGTGAAATAATATAGAGAAATATTTCCACCCACATGGAATTTACATTCCAATAAGAACAAACAATCATATATAATCAAATAAATATACATTTATTAGACTGAAGGAAGTGCTTCTGGGAAATACAAAGAAGAGTATGGTCAAAATGGAAGGATGGGTTGATGGTAGAGTGGAGGATCTATTTTACTTAGAGTGGTGAAGAAAAGCCTTAAAGTGACATTCAAGTATTCTGCCATGTGGTTATCTCTGGGGGTGGCGGGGAGGGCTTAACAACTGCTGGCACATTAGTTTTTTATCAACAGCCAGATAAAGAAAATTAAGAACATTTAAAAGCAACAGTAGCAAGAAAGACAAGGTGAATTTTCACCTATCAACTTCCAGGTCATTTTTAGCACTTAAGATCAAATAGCTGAAGAGTTAATGTACTTCCCTAAACAACTCCTTTCCTTCAACGAATTTTTAGCCAAATATTAACAAAGGAGAGGAACTTAGGTTTTTTGTTAGCAATTCCCTGTAAGGATTATTAAGGTAAAAAGGCTGTTAAAAATAGGAAGCTACAAAAAGTATAAATGTACTATACCACAAACCACCTAGATACATCTGCAATTATCCAGATAAATAACGAATACTTTCTAGTACAAGTATGTCCCCGATAAACATGGTGACAAATCGACATATTTTTAAGATGCATTTCTCGTTAAACTGAAAATTCAAATTTCAGGGTGCCTTGTGTTTTTATTTGCTAAACGTGGCAACCTTACAAATTGTATACTCTGTACTACATAAAATGCTTTTTAAAATAGAACTTAGGTAAATACTAAAGAGAAATTCATTAATACAGTATCTAATAAAAAGCAGAAATATGAGACTTTATTGAGCACCTTCTTTAAACAGCTGATACAGACACATAAAAATGCACATCTCCTACAAGATGAAATTCCTCAATTCACGGAGAAAGAGGGAGGTCTTTTCACATATTAAGTTCATCTACCGCATCTCCAGGAGTGGTCCCCACAGCGAACCGTCCGCGTGCGCCTGCGTCCTATGAACTCCCGATTTCGCCAGCGGCGAAAGGTAAAGAGACACTGGAGCCGCCTTCAGAGGGAGAGAGACGGACGCGGAGGCAGCCCCCAAATCCCGCAGGCAGGACGTCGATGTCCCTCGGGTTGCAGCCACCCGTCTCTGCCAGCTGGGTCCCCACCGGTTACTCTCCGGCCCGCGCCACCGCGTCCAACGGCCCGTCCCGTGGCCGCAGCTCGGGCCTCCCGGCGCGCCCCTCCGGGAACAGGTGCGCGCGGCGCCGGCGGGCTGACGCGGGGAAGCGGGCAGGCAGCCTTACTCACCAGGTCCGGCGAGGGAGGCGCGGCCTCGGTGGGACAGGGAAAACACAGCCCCATGGGGATCGCGGCCGGGGTCTGCTCCGCGGTCCGCCCAAACCAGGCCGTGAGAACTGCGCGATCAAACGCGGGTCTCAGGTCTGCGGCGCTCGCTCCGCCCCCGCCGGGCGGCTCGCTGACTGGGCGGCTCAGCCCGCCGCTCCGCTCTGCCCCGCCCCTCTGCCGCAACACCCCGCCCCGCCCCGCGGAACCGCCCACTCACTCTCCCCGCCCCACGACTCCGCCCACATATACGCCCCGCCCCTCGGCTCCACCCGCGCCCCACCATTCCGCCTGGGCTCGGCTCCGCCCCACTGTTGCCGGGCTTCACTCCAGCCCCGCCTCGACCCCGCCCCTGCAGGTAGCCCCGCCCCTCTGAAGCCACTCCCCACCCATACCTCCAGAGGCTCCGCTGGGACCAGGCCTTGGACTCAGGAAACACCTGCTGAGGGCAGCACGCGGAAGAGGGATGGAAAAGTGTGGCTATAGCCTGCGAACCTCTCTGTGGCTCCCAGTTGGCTGACCCTGTATAAATGAGTGACGTGACTCGGGATAGTTTATGTTATCTTTTGTGAGAAGGGGCTCTGACTTCCAAGAAATCAAAGCCAAGATTTCAAGTTGATGTCAGCACGCATTTCTCTAAGTGCCTCTCACTACTACTCCAGTTGAGAGGGCAGAACATGAAATTTATCACCATGTTTTAGAATTGAGCCGCATGAATGCAGCATTAGTTGAGATGTCTATTGTTTTCTGTTGCGTTGGATGCATTTTTCCATCCAAGAGTAGCAGTAACGTTTGAAATATTCAGAAATATTTAGAGTGGATGCTTAAATGTAATAGGTATAAGAATCACCTGAGCATCAACTTAAATGAATTAAGGTATGAGTTAATAAATATCACAGCCAAATGGACATATCATTGGAAACTTGATGGCAGCATACGGGGTTCTTGATCTTAATATTCTGTTAACAGCTTTATGAAATCACCAAGTGGTTCTTTAAAATTGTTTAATTTTTTTACCCAGTTAATTTCTGTGGTCTAAAAGTTATCAGAAAACTGCACTTGTCAAGAAATATTTTCTATGAATCCTTTTGAATATGAAGTGCTTATTGCAAGAGCATCAGAGTAAAACAGTGACCATCTATAAATGACAAGAGTTTAAAAGACATGATTGAAGATCTGATTACAATGCAGTTGACAAAGAAACTTGGTTACTACTGTGAGTTACAAAATTCAGTATAATTAGTAGAATTATGGCTGTTAATATTTTACTTAGACATATTAGATTTTTAGGAGGCCCATAATTTCCATAATATCTATATTAATAACATTTACCCTTACAACATAAACTAAGTTTTATCACAACTCATTTGATAATGCTCACATATAATTTCATGTACAAAGTAACCCTAATTTGTTTAATATTTCTTTCCACCAGATTTTTCAGATGTTCTGTCTGAAGCATCCCAAAGTTAGCTAGAGGCCAAAAGAACTTTGATTAGAATTTGAAATTTGGAAAGTTTGTCAAAAATATCAAAAATGTTTCAAAACATTTAATCAAGTATTATAGGGTCACATGTCACTGTAGAACAATACTTATTCACTTAACCAAAGTGACAATAAAAGATTTCAAGAAGCAAATGTTGCAAGTTGTAACAGAATACTGGTTAAAGGCAGAGAAACTTTATAATTAGTTATCAAAAGAAGGTCAATATTTTCCAAAAACTTTCTATTAAAGAGAGAAAGTCAAATCCAGATTTTGTACTACTTTACCTTGCAAATTAAAATTCATTTACTCAGTTAAATTTATTATACTCTTTATCAGCCTTGACCAACACATAGAATGCCTTTCTAAGGCATTGTCTAAAGATAATCTTCTATATCCATATTAATTTGTCCTTATTTTCTTTCCCTTTTAGCAATAAACAGCTTTAGGACAAAAACCCTTTCTTTTCCCTTAACAAAATGCATTTTCATTCTTTATATCTTCTTTGTCCTTGGATACAAAGATGTTTTCCTTATTAATTTTTAGTAGTTTTAATTAGATACTTTAATTGTGATTCTTAACCTTAAAAATCTTAGTTTCTAATGAAAACTGAGTAAGCAATTATGGACATGTACATTAGCAATTTGTAGACAGGCAAACTTGTGAATATTAGTTGTAATTTCTAAAACAGGTGTTCCATAAAGAAAATATCTCAGTGTGGCACCAAGTATATTAATAATCCTTAATATCTTTAGTTTCTCTGTAAAAGGAAGCTTTTGTTCAGTAATGTTACAGTTTCTTATTTGGAGATGATCTGGATAGTCAATGAATTCCCATCATTGAATTTAACTTAGCAGTTTCAAGTTACAAATAAATCTGGAGAAACGATTTTAGATAGATATACTCAAAACATAATTATTCCTAAAGAGTTCACTTAGATTATTTTATTTACCTTTATTTAAAACTTTCATATCAAGTTATTTTTCTTGCTGACAAATTTTGTAGCAGGAATAATAAGTTCTTATTTGATTTCGAGTAAACCTAGGTACAATAAAAATATCATACTTAATGTTGATGACCCTAAAGAGATGTCTGTATTAATTAAACTGACAAACGGAAACTTTTCATTCATTAAAATTGAGTCTATTTCATTTAATTTATTAACTCCAGATCATGAGATTCAGAAGTTCATGTGGATTAGTTTCTTTGTATTTCTGTTTATATGTGCTTAATTTCCTTTAAGCCAATTAAATAGAGCTCTTTTACAAATTAATATTGGCAATACCACACCTCTACAATACAAACACACAGACACAAACAAACACCTCATAGATTCCACTCTAAGATTTCAGCCATGAATTGTTACAATAATATAAAACCCATCAGTTTTAAGAGTTTGGATTAAAATTGTATTTCTGGTGGATGGAACAAATCGAGGTCACCTGTTTAGATGACTAATTCTTTCACTAATATTTATAGAAGAGACACTTAAGTGTCTTACAAACCTTAAGATTTGTATTTGTCCTTGACAAGTCAAGTTCCAAATTATCTTTTCATGCTTTGTTTTTTCTTTCAGTAAGAGTTACCTTCCTAAAATCTGCATTTTAAAAAGATGACTATGATTAGAGTAACTGACTAGATAGACTATATGAAACTCAGAAGTATAGGAGAAATTCAGCTTCCTCCTAGAAGGAACTTTGTTATTGTCATACATTTTAATCCTGCATGTTATTATTGCCACAATACCTTGATTTTTCTTAAAACAATCAATTATTTTTTTAAAAATAAAAAAATTTTAAATGATTTTGTATTCATTCATGTGTATCATTTCCAGAGCTATTCATTTTGTGAAGGTCCAAGAATCTGACAACTTTTCTTCTACTTAAAGAATTTTAAGTAGATAGTGATATTTTGGGGGCTTTCCTTCTCCGGAAAAAAAAAAAAATACCCTACATTTTGCTTTCAATTTTGAAGCCTATTTTTGCTTCAAATAAGACATAAGGTTGATAGGATTTTAAAAAATATTTTAAATCAGTTTTTTTAAAGATGTCATTTTGGTTACATGATTTATTATGACCTTTGTGGTTTTCTTATGCTTATTTCTCAGCATTTAATGTCGGAGAAGGCAATGGCACCCCACTCCAGTACTCTTGCCTGGAAAATCCCATGGACGGAGGAGCCTGGTGGGCTGCAGTCCACGGGGTCACGAAGAGTCAGACATGACTGAGCGACTTCACTTTCACTTTTCACTTTCATGCATTGGAGAAGGAAATGGCAACCCACTCCAGTGTTCTTGCCTGGAGAATCCCAGGTACGGGGTCGCACAGAGTCGGACACGACTGAAGTGACTTAGCAGTAGCAGTTAGCATGTCCCTGTTATTTTCTTTTTTTAATGTTTTTCAGCAATTTGATTATGAGATAATTTGGTAAGTTTTGGAATTCATTTTGCTTGGTGTCCATTACACTTTTTGAATCTGTGGGGTTAGTTTTCATCAAATTTGGAGACATTTTGGGCATTTTTTTTTCTTCCATCCTCCCCCACTCATATCTCTCTATTTATTCATGTCTTAGACCTCCATGATATTGTCTCATAGATCAGTGAGCAGTTAATCATTTTCCCACTTTTTCTGTTTGCTTTAGTTTGAATTGTTTCTATTGCTTTATCTGCTGTATCTTCAATTTCAATGTCTTTCATACTTACTCACTCAGTAGCATCTGACTTTTTGCAACCCTAGGACTGTAGCCTGCCAGGCTCCTCTGTCCATTGGATTCTCCAGGCAAGAATACTGGAGTGACCTTCAAGGTCTTTTATTTACATCTAATATACTGTTCATATCATTTAGTGAATTTTTTAAATTTCAGATATTTTCAGTGTTAAAAGTTCCATCTAATTCTTTTTAGTCTTCCATTCTTCTCCTTGCTGGGTTCACATTTTTCTTTAAACTGCTGAACATAGTCAACTTATTTATAATAGATGATAAAGCTGATTCTTCTAATTGCATCCTCTCTTCATTTTGGTGTCTCTATTAACTTGATTCCCCCCTTTTTAATGTTTTATAATTTTTTTCTCCTTGGCATGCCTAGTAATTTTGCCTGGACACTAGATATCGCACATGGATGGTACAAAAAGAGTAAACAGACCTGACATTGCTGAGTTCACGCTATACACATGCAGCTTAGCATTTAACACAGACTAAATCCAAGGCACAATACAGATCTGCCAATTACTTTCAGCAGTTTCTTACTTCCTGGAGTTCTGCCCTGCAGGTTCCAGTTACTCCAGACGGCCTGAATCCTCATCTGTTTCTCAATCAGGAAAACTCCTGTGTTCTGCTTACGATCCTCTTCCCTGCATAAATGACTGCTCTGGA